CCTGCAGAGGCCCTAGAGAGGGACAACATCCCCTCCCCCCAGGGGGGCCTACATTCTGGGACGGAGGCAGGAAAACCAGATAAATATGTAACATGCCAGGAATTGTTCAATTCTATGAGGAAAAATACTCTTCTGAGTGATGGGTGAGGGTTGCTTCTTTCCATACATACATCTCGAGCTCTCTAGAAATGCTTCTGAAGCTTGATTGCACATAAAAATGACCTAGAATGGCTGCTAGCAATGTCACTCTGAGGTAGATGAGGGTCTGTGTTTCTAATAGTCACCACGGGGCCATGGGAACAATAGCTGCAGATGGCGGCAGCAGCTTCATGACTAAATGAACCCCCAAATTTTGTATAACTATCCCTCAAAGCATGTTGGTATCTTCCCTTTGTTTTCCAGCCAACAACACAATCATTATATAAATCGAACATACTCTAATGCAATGTCCTGCAAGTCTGTGATAATTTTAAAATCCAAGTTCCCTTGTCCTGGTGTCTGCCACGCCTCATACATGACCTCTGATCAGTCACGAGTCCTGCCTGAAAAGGCCCATGGGCACCCTGCAAATCCTTGAAAGTCAGGGTTTCCAGGATCCTAACCCGAGTTCTTGTCGTGTCTCCTCACCTTGGACACTGCGACGAGTCCCTAGGTCGTCCTGCCTATGGTTTCCTCGTCCCGCAAGATGCTGCCTGGCCTTCCTAGTGCACGGCCTCCATCGCTCACGGGGCGACCTTCAGTGTGCGTGTGCTCTAGGGAGCACCGCGGTACATGGGGACTACGGATACAAAAGGGTTTGTCTCCAGGAGCTCAGCGTGGGCAGTGTGCAAGCACTTCCATGGGAACGCTGGCTCCTGTGGGTCACACGTGCCTGCGCTTGAAGGCCTGGATGCGGGGGTAAGTGGTGAGGTGCTCCGGCATCGGCCCAGAGGCAGAGCAGTGTGTGCGTGTGCATGGGCACGCACCTGCACATGTGTGTTCTGTGGTCTCCTCAGTCCTGCTCCCCAGGCATCTACGCCAGGTGCCACTTTAGGGGGCCCTACGAAATCTGCAGCTTTAGTCCAGCAAAGGACACCATTCGGGGGCTGAAGGACAGTTATCCCAGGTGCCCAGCCCTCACGCTACCATCGCAGCTGCTCTGGTGGGTGGCCAAGCGGATTCCCGTCGGCATGGCCTCACCTCAGGCCCTCACTGGGTCCTTACCTTGGGCCTTGGAGTGGCCCCTCCTTGTTAGGCTCCCCAGCTGCCCATCTCCCCTCCCCTCCGGGCACATGCCATGCTCTGATGGTACAGATCTTGTGCCCTATCCCCGAGGGTACCCCAATTCCTTCATTTGGTTTCACTGCTTCCTCTCCCCACCCCAGACTATGGTTCCTGGGCAGGGGACCCCACAGGGAGTTAGACCCCCAAGGTGTTACCTTGTCACACCTGAGTTGTGGCAACACCAGGTAAAAGGTGTTGGAACAAAAAGCTTCCGTGCATAAATGGCCATGGGCACCAAGACTGCAGTCCCCCTCCTGAGTATAAAGCGGGAATGTGGTGAGCCCTGACCTGCCGACTCGTTCATCTGGCCTCCCCAGACAGCGCACGGGAAGTGGGGGGGGGGGCTTCGACGGGCACTGCCCTTGCCTTGCTCTTCAAGGACAGGTTTGATTTTGTTTTGAGGTTTTTGCCATACGGTATGCATACTGGTATGCACACTCACCAGAGAAAGAGAGAGAGAGAGAGAGAGAGAGAGGGAAAGTGAGAAGTCACCTTCCTCCCCAGGGGTGGCGGCCACACCACAATCCCTTTTCCATTCTCCTCTCTGGATTCTGGGCATGCATGGACATGTGCTAGGAGTGATTTTCAAGCTGCTGGGTCCAGGACTCAAAACACAGTCAGCCATGTGGAAATCCAGTGTCTTAACCACCACCTCGCCTTCTGGCCCCAAAGAGAACAGAGTTTTAATGTTGGCCATTTGGAAGTCCCTCCACAGCAACAGTCAGTGGGTTTACTGGCCCTGCACCCGAGCGAAGGACCACTTGTGCTGCAGAGGAACAGGTGGGCTGTGGCTGTCCTTGACAGCCAGGTACTAAGCCCGAAGCAGAGGGTCAGCGACCACTCAGGGCTCCATTTCTGACCTGCTGGGTATGTATCTTCTTTATCTCCCACTCAGATCTGGCTATAGTTTTCTTATTTTACCGGAACAGAAACAAAAAATGAGCAAAGCTTGATGTTTAAAGTTTATAAGAATGAGGGAGAAAAACCTTTACTAAAATGGAGAACCACTCCTTAATTAGGGAAACCATCATATGACACTCTCCAGCTGATTAAAATGCTTTCAACTCATTTTTTTTTTAAAAGATGCTTTCGTTTGTCTTTTTTTCCCCCTCCTAAATAAAATGTGCCTGGCTACATAATAGATGAAAAGTGCTGGGAACATCGCATGGTAATTTCAAAGCCCCAGGGAGCTGCTCTCTGCAGAGGGCCCATCCTGAACCCACAGAGTAATGAGGCCAAGCGCGTGCATCTGGCCCTCACCCCCGGTTCACCTGCCTGGCAAGGCTGAACAGCCACAGCGTGCTTGACGATACTGCATGCACCCACAGCACACTGGCCCTCACACCTCTATCCCTGACACCTGACCCCACGGAGCCCACCCCCATAGGACGAGCCTTCCTGTCTCTGTGAGTCCAGTGCTGACATGCAGCTGGCCTCGAAAGCAATCTACAGAAGCTGTCTAGATCAACTGCTGCGGTGTGAGTGTCCACTGCTGGCATCTGCCATTTACACGCAGAATGAAACTGGAAGGTCGAGTCCTCCATGCACCGCTCACCGCACAGCGTGTCTTCAAGGACTGTCCAGGCGGCTCCTGACTACCAGAGCCCCAGCTTTCAGCTGATGATTGCAAATTAAGGGGGTTTGTCCAAAGGCTGCCCCAAAGTGTGAGTGTTAAGAACTCAGAGGCACCTGAGGAAAACACAGATGAGTTTCAGGCTTTCCTTGTCCTCAGTGAGCTTGGGGCCTGGCTGGAAAAATGAGACTCTCACCTTTGACAAGTGAAGTGTTGGCCACGTGTGAGTGGGCAGGGGACGCAAGCTCCCGCTGCTAGCCTAATGCCAGAGGCCTCCAAAGCAGGGCCTCACTCCAGGCTGAAGCTGTCTTGTGGCTTCTTGTTCTAAAACCTGACTTGAGAATCCCAACAGCCAACATTGCAGCATGCCCTCACCCCTTATGGAAACTTGGGAGGAGCGAGCGAGCACACAGCCCAGCACCCCAGGGTGAAGTCAGCAGGAGGCTGGGTATTTGGATCCAGAGCCCAGAGAGACATCAGGGCCATAGACAAGAATGCAGGGCAGAAGTCGAGGCTCCCTGAGGCCAGGGTCTCTGGAGCTTGTCTGGGGAAAGAAGAACTTGGGGAGGGACTGAGAGGACAGCTCTACAGAAGAGGCCATGGTAATGGCTGGCAAAGGGTGAGGGCGAGGGTGTACAGAAAGCTCTGTAGTGTCACCGAGTGGTCAGAAGCCTGGAAATGTCCTGGAAGGGACAACAGTCAACACAGCAAGAGCTACTCTTCAATAGCGGGTGGGAAGGGTGGATGGGGAAGGGGAAGTCCAGGTCCCACCTCTGAGCCTGGGGGCAGTGAAGACACAAGGGGGCTGGGGACCTCTGGTCACAGTGGGACAGGCCTGAGGCTCAAACTGAGCAGTCCGCTCCCACCTGGAGGGTGTGACGCTGGCCCAGCAGCTCCGACATCTTCCCTTTGGGGAGGAGGCCCCACCATTGGTGATGTGATGTAAGTACGTTAGAAATGCATGGGCGCTGCTGGGACTTCGGACTGCCCTCAGGGGGCGGGTATCAGGGGGAAAACTGGGGTCACCAGGGGCAGAGCCGAGCGGAGAACCCCTGGCAGATGCTGGCAGTGGACACTCACACCTAAAGATAGTTATGAGCACTTCCAAGGGACTCCTCACTTGACCACCCCTTGCCCCACAATACCCATTTATAGAAAAAACCTTGCGTCGGGCGTGGTGGCACCCGCCCTATGGAAAAAACCTTGTGTGGACAAGTTCTGCACCTCTCCAGGCCCTGGGGCACCAGGGAACCCCTAGGCCAGTCTGGGACATGCACAAAGGAGTGACCCACAAACCACCACGTCCGACTCCACCAGGGCAGGCCCCGGCACTGAGGCTCCTGTGGCCAACAGACCCAGTCAGGTCGCTGCCTTGTGCAGCCTTCCTGGGAGTGGGATCAATATAGAGAGATAGTACCGAAGAGTGAACGGAAGACGGTGGGACTGCTGTGGGGGATGAGCAGCAGTGAAGCGTGCTGGCCAGGTGTGTGGCGGGCTGCCCGGCTGGCCTGGGGAGTCTCCTGAGAAGAACGTTTTCAAAGCCCCAAAGGAGGAAAGGCCCCGGGCAATGTGGGTATCTGGGAGAAGCCCCCGGGCAGGCTTGCTGGGATGGAGGGCTCAGGCTGGGTCAGGCACAGCAGCCTGGAAGGTGGAGAAGATGTGGCCGGAAGGGACCTCTCAGCAACAGGGGACAAGGCTCACTTGCCCCCAAACTTCGGTGGACACTACCCTTATCTCTCCAGCTCAACTCTCAGCCTCCAAGCAGACAGGAAGTGCCCCAGCTTCTCACAGGCAACAGAGATTGCAGTCTCTCAGCCAGGGGCTTCAAGGTTTTCTGGAGGCCAAGAACTAGTGGCTTTTGTCTTTATGTTCCAAATGAAGACAAACACCCATTCCCATCTGGTCACCACAGCAACAGAAAAACCTATGATGAGGGCCAGCAGGTGGCGTGGAGCTTAAGGAGGCTAGATCCCACATGGCCAACTGTGCAGTTCGAATCTTGGACCTGAAAAATCATGCCGGGCATGTGTGCATGTGTGCCCAAAATATGAGGAGAGGGACTGCAGGATGGCCCTCCTCGTTGGGGTGATTTTCCACTTTCCCTTTCGTTCCTCTCTGGCGAACACGTGTATCCTATTGTAAGTTAAAAACAAAACAATACAACCTAGGGTAGTGGGAGAAGGACTTTTCCTTCTTGGTCTGCAGAAATCATACGCTGGGATGATCTGGGGGAGCCCCATGAGGCCCCCCAGAGCCCCTCCGACCTGCCTTGGGCCTTCAAGCCATGGACTGTCCCTTCTTATTTAGGAAAAGGAAAAGACAAGGATGACAGGACTTTGGGGCCCTTAGAGTTCTGATACTCTGAACCTGGACTAGGGCGTTACTCAAACAGCCCGGCATCAGGTCTGTGCTGGGACAGGTCAGTGCTTCACCTGCTGGTCTGGGAGCTCAGGAAGTGCACCAAGTGGCTGGCCCACAGCACGGGCCCCGCGTACGTCCCAAACGCCGTCAGAAACATGGCAGGGATTTCCACGTAGGTGTCTAGGCCCACGAAGCCTGCTGAGATGTCCACGGTGGCGATGTTGTTGGAGTTGCCCTGGAACACAGGGGAACAGAGCAGACACAGGCATCAGCACACGCACGGACACCCATTACGCCAGCGTGAAATGTACACTGACCGGGTCAGTGTGGGTACACAGTCAGAGGAGCCGGAGGTCCTGAGCAGGGCTGCTCGTCCGGTGCAACTTCAGGTGACTGGGCTGACCTTGGATCAGTTGGCCTTCCACATGCCAGCCTTGCTCCAGGCCTGGGAGGAGCAAGTGAAATGACCCACGGAGAAAAGACCAGTCCCTTTGGAAGAACTGCGAGCGGGTAAGTCTGCTGACTAGCAAATTTCACACTTTTCCTCCAGATCTGTTCACTTTTTCTTTTCTTTTCTTTTCTTTTTTTTTTTTTTTTGAGAGGTTTTCGCTATAGGGTGCATGCGCTCGCCAGACAGACAGAGAGAGACATAGAGACAGAAAGCGAGAAATCACCCCCCAGAGGGGATGGTCACGCCGCAATCCCTTCTCCTCCTTTCTCCTCTCAGGATCTTGGGCACGCACGCACATGCACCAGGCGTGAGTTTTAAGTCACCGGGTCCGGGACGCGAACTGCGGTCGACTATGTGGAAGTCCAGCGACATAGCCATTACGCTAACTGCTGGTTCCCTCTGTTCACTTTTTTTAAGGGAAGCACAAGGCCCTCCCCACTTCGAGGACCTCCTGTCCAAGAGTGGCGTACATGGTCCTGAGAGGTACGCTGCCTGGCCTGGCCTGGAGAGGAGCGCTGGGGTGAAGAGTAATTGTTGGCTGCTCAGTTGGGGCCCGCCTGCCAGTCAGGTGCCGGTGCTCTGTGAGTTACCTGGCGGAGGGCAGACCCGCTGCTGGGGCAGTGCCCTGATCTGGCTTTCCCATCAGGCCTGAGGACAGACTCTGCACTGAGATTCCCGTCAGTTACAGCCTAGTCCCAGTGGGCAATTCACCCTGGGAAGTGGGAGTCGGTGTCACACAGCGGATCCTGCATGTGAATGGGGGGGGGGGGGAAATTCCTAGATTCAAGAAACTCCTACAGTTCTGCTTTTCCTCTACTCTCAATCCTTATCATAAGAGATAATCCGTCAGTTATTATGTGGCCTTTCCTAGATACAACATTCACCATTTGACAGCAGACGGGTCTCTGTTAAGTCCAGCTGAGGCTCCTCTCTGGAAGCCACCCCAGGGCTACTGTGGAGGATTGCTCACTAGCTCTGCACACTTGGCCATCAGACCCCACCCTGCAGGGTCCGGGTCGTTACCAGGCTGAGCGACGCTACCTCCCGAACACCTTGGACGCGCGTCTGCTCCCGTCTTCACTGTCCTCCTGAGGCCCAGTCCTCTTGTCTACCCTCCACTACAGCTTGGCCCTTACTTCCATTTTACTCACAGCCACCCAGGCTCTCCTGGAAGGTGCTACCTGAAGAGGGGAGAAGGCAAAGAGGCAGGAGCTGCGGGAGGCCCAGGGGTGTGGATGGAGGAAGGAGGGGGAAGAGGAGACCAAGTCCCAAACACTACGATCAAGGCAAGAAGGGAAGCGTGTGAGGACGGAAATGGGTCTGGTGCCTGGAGGACACTGTGACCCCTGAAGCAGGTCAACCCAGGCAGAGAGGACTGACCATGTCGCTTTTGTAACTAAATGGCATTTGTATTTGTTATACGTGTATAACTCAACAGACCTGCTGTGCTACGTTCTTAACCTTGGCATACAGGGAGGAGACAGGCAGAGACACTGGGCCTGAGCACAGGCTGAGGGCCGGCAGGTAAGAGCAGGCCCCTGCACCCCGACGCCTTGCTATTGAGGAACTGCTGAGTAGAGGGCAGGAAGCGGGGTGGCAAGCCCAAGGGATCCTCTCTGAGGAAACCTGACAGCAAGGGGTAGAGACTCAACCTGAAGGACAGGAGCCGTGTGGAGGCAGGGGCTAGAGGGGGTGGCAGGGCCTGCTCTGCATGAGGTCTGACTCTTTGTTGACTCCACTTGCTGGCTGATCCTCATGCCTGCTCCAGGAACACATGGCCACTGGACATGCGTGCCCGGCCACCAAGGCACAGCCCTATGACGTGCAGGCATCACACACTACGCCAAGCCCTCAGAAGCCTGCATAGCTGCAGCCAGGCCCCCAGAGGCTGCTTCCTCTCTCAGGGTGTAAACTGCTCAGCAGGAGGGCTGCTGCCCAGTCAGGCTTCCCAACCCCCACAATCACTCAGAGAGAAGGGAGTCACCTGCTAACCCCCTTTTACAGATTAGGAAACTAAGACATGGCAGATGCCTGCAAGAGGCCACCTGGCTCAGAAGTGCTGGACACTAGTGCCCCGGCCCAGGGCCATCTAAGGTTCTGCTCTCCCCTGACTCTTAATGCCTCACGTGCCTCAAGTGTGGAGTCTGGCAGTGGGGCGAGCTACAGAGCACTGAAGGAGCTGGGGCTGAGAGGGCTGGCCGAGTGCGGGAAGCACCAAACAGCTAAGGAGGTCTAGGTTCAGTACTCGGGGACTTACAGGCCTCTGTGACCGCACTCCCCTCACCTCTGGGCTTCAGGGCAGAAAGACAGACAGAAAAAGCCATGTGATGGAAAGCTGCTATGTGGGTAAAGCCATGAGCACCAGAAAACTAGGAGAGGAGGATGAGGGAAGAGGCCAACCCGTCAGGACACAGAGAACCAGACAGGGCTTCTGGGGACTGACTGCAGGAGGGGAAAGAAGCCTGTGCACGCAGACAAGATCCTCACTGCATCGGCGAGAAAATACAGCCGAGATGTTCAGCAGCTAGAGCAACGATACCTCAGCAAGGAAGTTAGAGCTGGGAGGGAACTACGGCAAGCTGTGCCCACTCTGCTGGGGACGCTGGGGACTGCATGGGACTGAGAACCTGCAAGGCCTATCCACCTGTCCAGGAGTCACCCTATCCATGCCTCAGCAGAGCTGAGGTGGGACTGGGCATGTCTGTGATGGGCCCTTAAACACCTGAGGAAGATCCAACAACCTACCAAGCCCCATGAGGACACTGAGGGGCCCCCTGGGCAGGCAGTCCTAACACCAAGGGCAAAGGGCATGAGAGAGATCAATTATTACATTCATCGAATAAAACAAGTAAAAAACATGGCATGCTTCCTTAACTGCTTGTAATAAGTAAGTCCACATCTGGCCCAACAGAGCAACAATCCATTGCTTTAAACACCCATGTATCCACATTTGGGACATCTGTTGTACAAGACTAGCTGCTTATCTTATAAGATATGCATGAGATTTCAGCATAATTTACCACGCCATACTGACGGTGCTTCCATTGAACAAATATTACAACTTCCCAACTTAACGGTAACATTTTCCCAGAGAAAAATTAAAAGATAAATGACATATAAAAAGTTAATAGTCTACCCGTGATAACGAAAACCTACCTGAAAATAGAAGAATGCTTGACCGAACCAATAATGCATTACAGTAATCTCAGCAGCATCGTGTTTCAGGGGCTTCCAGATGAATTTAGTCATTATGGTCTGAATCAAAAGACTAAATGCTAAGACTGGAAGATTGTGTGGTCTAAAGAGCAATGCTGCCAGAAGAACTAATCCACTATATATCTCCCATAAACCTACAGTCTTGGTTTTGCGGTCTGCAGCAAGGACTTGAGATTTAAGTAAGTCTTTGGTGCCCGTAAACAGAATGCCAAGGACAAAGACATAAACAAAACGAGCTTCAATAATACCCCTAAAAAAAAGCAAAACAAGTTAGATTCATTAGCACACGCTAGAAAAATTCAAATACATATCTTCCCATGAAACACGCACACATACACTAAAGGAATGCGTAAATGTGCCGGCAGAGCTGTCTACACAAATCACAGCATCCTCCCTGTCCCCCCAGGTGATGGTGTGGAGCTGGGTGTGGCTGCCTCTATACACCAGCCCCAAGGACTCTGTCAAAGCCAATGGGCATGGCCTAGTGTACACTTTTCTACGGAGGTGACTTTGGTGAAATCTTGCTCACTTGGTCCAGGGATCATCTGGTCACAAGACCTGATCTATGCCCTCGTAGCATGCCAGAAAAACCATCCAGTTAGAATGAAAAACCACTGCACTAAGATCCAACTCTGTCAGAAACTCCTGCAAGTGTGTTAAGTGAGCATGTTCCACAATCAAGCAGGTTGAGATAAGCACCCGTGCACTGATGTGTAATGCACAGATATAATGGTGCAGTGGTCCAAACCGTGGACTCCGGGTTTAGTCTGGGCCCTGCTGTTTACTAGCTCTGTCTGCTGGGGAAAGTTAATCAAGACCTCTATTGCTCAGCACTGCCATTTGTTAAATGAAGGGAAACTGGTGTCTATGCCTTACAAGGCACAAGGCCGTCCTAAGATTTATGAGAGAATGCATGTAAAGTTAAGCATACAGCAAATGCTCAGTAAATATTAAGTACTCCTATGATTTAAGGATTTTAGCACTTCATTTATAGTTATCTATCAAGGATAAGATTTATGACACTGACACTGTATCAAAGGATTTCATCTTATGAAAAATGTATATTCCTAATGCATACTATTTTAAATAAATTTTTTAAGTCTGGCCCCCTACTGCAGTAGGTAAGTGCTGGATCCCACAGGGCCTACCAGAGTTCTAGTTCTGGCCCCAACAACTGAAAAATATGCTAGACACACATGTCCATGCCCAGGATCCTGATCGGACAGAAAACTGGAGGAAGGAGGATTGCAGCGTGACCAGGTCCCACGGGGGAATGCTTGTGTCTTCTCCAGTTCTCCAGTCCCCTGGACCTCGGGCACTGGGAGGCATGCCCGGCGTATTTCAGGCTCACAGGGCTGGGGATCTGAACTGTAGTTGCCATGTGGGATCCATCTTCCCTTGAGCAGTACATTACTATCACACCATGAAGTTGGCCCCAAATATTTTATATACACCAGAAACACTAATCACTTAAAATAATCCTAAATCAATTTTAAAATGAAACGTCACAATAATGTGTTCTGAAAAACTTAATTTTCATATATGGGTTGAGCATTCCTAATCTGAAAATCTGAAATCTGAAATGTTTCAAAAATCCAAACCTTTTTTGAGCATTGACGTGATGCCACAAGTGGAAAATTCCACCCCTGACCTCTTGTGATGGGTCACATCAAAATGCTACAAGATGGAAATAATGTATAAAATCTCCTTCAGACTCTGTGTATAAGGTGTATATAAAGCCAAGTGCATTTTGTGTTTAGACTTGGGTCCTATCCCAAGACACCTCATTATATATATGCAAATATTCTAAATTCTGAAATTGTTTACTTCTGGTCCTAAGCATTTCAGATAGGAGATACTCAACCTGTATCTGATTGCTTTACAAAGTTTTATCCATGAAAAAAAATGAAGCTTTAATCGGCTTAGATTATGAACATTGCATACCATGCCTGACAGTGTGGCCTGCCCTCTCAGGGGGCAGGGTCCTATGAGGAGCAGGAATCAGGTACCTGGCAACCCCTACAAGCCAAGATGTGGAGTAGGTTGTGGGCTAGCAATAGGCCCTCATGGATCCAAAGAAGAGCGAAATGAGCACAGGGCAGAATCATGCAGAAGGGTTGAAGACAAAAAGGGGCTGGACACAAGACAAAATGGTGAATAGGAGGGGGAGCATCATCAGACATCTTTGACAGGCCTTCCTCACCCTTGCCCTAATCAGCCACTGCCCTTCTGTTCCGGCACATCCAGGACCACCCCAACTCAACCTTCCACTCAGCCTGGGCTTCTGAGGGAAGAAAGGCGGGAGCTGATTACCAAGGACTTTAGGATACTGAAATGGCAGCATCTGGGTGTAGGGGACTGAAAGGAGAGAAGTATCTGTTATGGTCTTCTATTAATACAGCATGTCTCCAGAATCAGGGTGGACCAGGGGATCTAGAATCAAAGCAGATCTAGAACCAGGGTAGGTCTAGAACCAGGATGGCTACAGAAACAGGGTGGATGCAGAACTAGGATGAATCTAGAATCACAAATCTAGAACCAGGAGAGATTTAGAATCAGGATAAATAGGGGTGAGGAATGGAGATATTTTACAGGAAGTACATGAGCCAAGAATATGTTAAATGACAAGGCATACTGACTGTGTTTTGGACACTAAGCACGTTTCAATAAGCAGGTAAGGGGAAGATGATCAAAGTCTTGAAATGACTAATGCTAAAATTGAGTGCATGGCTCTGAGGAAATGGGAAATTTCTTCATACACTGCACTTGGAGAATTAAGCAAAACCCCCAAATGTAATCTCTAGCCTTGACATGTGCCCCAGTCTCAGACTCTGAAGTCAACAGGCTTAGAGGCATCTCCACAGGCCACCCTCAGGGTCTCTAACTCCTTATCCTCTCCTCACCTGGCTTCCCTGCCACAGGTGAAAGCAAGCCTGCTCCCGGCTCACCTCAGCCAGGCCCCCGCCTCACCTCGGCCCCTCCCCCAAGCCTCACACCCACCAGCAGGTGTTCCTAGGTATGCCCCCTGTGCCCCAGAGCCACCACATGGCATGGCCACAGCCCTCGGCTCTCACTTTGACCTTTTCTCTGACTAGAAAAGCACTATTTATTAACTCTAGACATTTGTATGATTCAAAAATGAGAAGGAAAGAAAATTATAATCCACTAAAGATCTTGGGTACTAAATACCATCACAACCAATATTTTATGTATATACTCTTTCATATAAATATGAAAAAAACCTCTGATAAATGAGGTCATACAATATTTTACAGCCTATTTTTCTACAACTTTCTATGTTCTATAAAAATATACTATCTGACAGCTGTAAGATTCCATTACGGAACTTTAATATAATTGAGAGGGTCATCCCAACATTGTTGGACAACTATGTTGTTTTTTACCATTTTCAACTGTAAATGATGCTTCAGTGAGCATGTCTGTACCCCAGTTCCAAGCTACCCCTCTGCTTATTCTCGTTTTTTGTTTTTATTTTAGAATTATTTATTAAATTTTATTATTATTATCACCATTATTATTATTATATTATTATTTGACCAGAGAGAGACAGAGAAGGAGAAAGGGAAAGTGAGAAAGCAAGCTGCCAGGTCCAGGACTCAAACTTTGGTCAGTCATGTGGAAGTCCAGCATCTTAATCATAACACTTGGCAGCCCCTCAACTTGTATTAAGATAGTTTAGTAAGAGGGGCTGTGTCAGAGGGTCAGCCACATTTTATATCTATGCCCTTACGTGTGGGAGGGAGTGTGTTTCATGATCACACCACCACAGAAAACGGAAAACTGGCTGCTCTGACACACAGAAGAGGGATTCATGATGGAGCCCGACCAGTGCTCATTCACGGTGAGCTCCCAGCCCTTGTAAGAGCTTGCTGTACATTATGGGGCCTAGTTAATTTCCTAGCACGCTTCACTTCCAACTGCTAGGAAGGATCCACTCGTTACTATCACCTCATTACTACAGGCACATCTTGACAGAGTAAAACCGAATCCTGGCAAGTACATTTACTTAGACACCAACCTGTGCTTCCTCTGTCTGCACTATGATACACCCTGGAGGTTTTATTTGTTAATTAAAATAAATCTCAATGACCTTACTTTCTGGGGGAAAATAAAGAAGTACTAACAAAGCAGTTAATTGAGGTTTTCTTAGTCAGGCTTTAGTAGCTTATTGATGAAATCACAGTTCATAGGACCAAACTCCAGTGTTCTAAAGATTGGAATGCCATTTTTTTAGTACATAAAATGGTAGAAAAAAATCTAAAAGCAAACCCTCATGTCTGCCATGCACTTACTTGGAGATGTCTCGGTTGCCTTGCTGCCACGGGAACAGGACATTTCCAATGGCCGCCCTGTAGCAGTAGACGCCCAGTAGTCCGAGTGCCAGGGCTGCCTTGGACACAGAGGAACAGCCCCTCTGGACTAGCACGAAAATTATGAGGAGGGAAAGGGCAGCCAGGATTGAGAGCTCCGCTTTGTGATCAGAGCTGGAACGAGATGGGAAATGCCAAAATGACTACCAAATGGAACCACAATGCTATGAATCCACAGCAACTGGCTTTCAAAGAACTATATGAGGGGACTTCAAAAATGGATGAACAAGGGACCAGCAGTTGATGTAATGGCTATGTCGCTGGACTCCCATGTAGTCAACACGGTTCGAGTCCCGGACCCGGTGGCTTAAACTCACGCCGGGCGCATGTGCGTGCGTGCGTGCCCAAGATCCTGAGAGGAAAATGGAGGAGAAGGGATAGTGGTGTGGCCATCCCCCTTGGGGGATGATTTCTCGCTTTCTGTCTCTCTGTCTTTCTGGTGAGCACAGGTGTCCTATAGCAAAAACCTCTCAAAAAAAAGGAAAAAAAAAACCGGATGAACAAGGAAACATACATAGAATTAAAGTAAAAGTTTATTTTGATGCAAAAAACTTTTGAAATTCATATAATTTTTCATAATATGTATTTTCCATGTACTTTTTGAAAGCCACGCATATTAAAAATAACTGATTTTCTTAAAAAGCAAACCCTTCCCCAACATAAACAAAAATTGTTCACTAAAATTCAAACAAAGGTTCTTAAAATATAACAAGTAAAAAGACTGTCATCTTGAAATCCCACTTCTCATTCACAAATGGGTTCCTCACCATCTGCTCTAGACTGGCTGGGAGGACCTGCAGTGATAGGAATGAGCAGTCTTATTGTCTCCCTGGCGCCCTCTTCTGGAGAAGCCTGGTACCTACCAGCATACAGCCGTTTACCTTGTCCTTGCACCCGACCCCGCCCACTTCCACTCATCATGAACACAGATAAACTCCTTTCACCTGGTCTGCTGCAGCCCCATTCCTGGGTGAGAAGATGGTGCCTGGAGCCCTGACCCCAACCTGAGTGCGGCTCCAGCCAGGTCTTGCTCCCCAGCCTGCTACCGTGGTACTGCTGAGAGACTGGGGAGGCTGGGCTCCCTGTTCTGTTCACTGCAGCCCACCCTTACAAAGCCTGGATGGTTGATCCTGTGGATGGGTAAATAATCTGTCAAGGACCACACACGAATGGGAAAATGTCAGAAAATGCAAAGGAAAGACGTTGCCAGTGTCAGCACTTGGGTACGGGGGGTGGAGGGAGCAATGAGGGCCGCAGTTGGCCCTACCCTGGGAGAAGGTAACCTGGGTATCCATTTATTATTGCTCTTTAAATTTTGCCAGCGAGCGTGTGCTCACAGGAAACAGAGAGGGTGGGGGGAAGAAGGAGAGGAAGAAAAGTAAGAAAGCACCCCCCATAAGGAATGGTCAGGCCACAACCCCATCTCCATTTCTCATTCTTTTTGGGATTTTGAGCACACATACTTGTGCCTCATGTGTTTTTCAAGCCACTAAGTCTAGGACCCAAACAATGAGGGATCCAGTCGCCTGAACCACCATGCCACCAGCTGGTGTGCTCTTTAAATTGTGTCTGTCTTATGTCCTAGGCTGTTATATGTCATAACTGAGAGACAAAAGCAATAGGGAAAGCAAATGTGACAGCTTTGAGGAGTGGGCCACTGCTGCAAGGTGGGAATCTGTAGTCTCTTTACAAATGGACGGGAATGATCCACCAGCACAGGAAAACTCTGGATGCAGGAGGGCCCAGCCCATGCAGAAGGCAGAGCCAGAACCCGAGGACACGCTGGGCTCTGACCACACACCCACACAGCCTCTCTCTAGCCCTACTCCATTTATTCTTTCTAACCACTAAGGTGGGGGCCAACCAGTGTCCTCACTCCAGGGTTGCTAGGAGAAGGGACTATGAAGCACACAGCAAAGGGCTCCCCAGAGATGTCACTGGTTATTGGAGCTCCGAAGGTTTTGCTATCACTTAGTTAATGCTTAGGAGACACTTCTCCCAGTAGGCCCCCAGATCCTCAGGGTCTGCGTCTGCAGATTCAATCAACCAAGCACTGTGTACCACTCTGCAGTTTTCTAACATGGTTGAACCCACAGATATTAAACATGCAGGAACTTGTACACCCATGGATTTCAGTATCCATGGAGGTCCTTGAACCGAGGGACCACTGTACTTGGTCAAGAGGAATCCATAATTTCACAGCTATCACTGTGTATTTCCAAGTATCTTCCCAAAGGATTGTGTCTGAAATGCTATAGGAATCTACGTGCTCATCATGACTGGGCTTGAGTTAGTTTTGTCTCTTTATCCTAACAGGTATAAAATTAGACCTCCTTATTTACCTGTAAGTATCCTAATTACTAATAGGAATTAGCATTTCCCTTTTCCTTCTGCTGGCAACTTTTAAGAAGTTCTTCACAGGCCAGCTGGTGGTGTGGTGGTGAAGGGAGCTGGATCCCACACGGCCAACTGTACGGCTCGAGTCCCAGACCTGGTGGCTTGATAAACACATGGGTCACGTGTGTGTAGTGACGGAGCCCAAATTCTGAGAATGGGGAAGAGATTGCGGATGACCATCCCTGGGTGGTGGGGTGAGAGGGGTGCTTTCTTACTTTCCCTCTTTCTCTCCATCTTTCTGGTGAGTATGCATGCCCTATAGCAAATTAAAAAGTTCTTCACAACGCTCAAGAGAGGAACTAGTGTTTGCTACTATCTCTCTAAAAATTGTTTCATCTTGCTATTCTTTTACTTTAGTTTCCTAGGTCTTCATTGCCAGACAATTAAAATGTAAAATATAGCCAAATCTTGATTTTTTTTTCTGTCCTAGTTTCTCCTATTTATTCAACTCCTACTTTAAATTCTCTGTTCACTATACTTTCTAGTAGGTTTTCTGGCCCCACTGAAAGGCTTAGGAGGCTGGCTAAAGTTTTATTCACAAGGCCTGCCCCTTCTGGATGGGAAAGGAGAGGAGTGGGGCTGGTATCCACCTATGCCTGTACTCTGGACTGACCTAGTCCTCTTACTTCACAGCTGCACCCAAGTGTGTTTGTAAAACCACAGGGCCAGGACTTGAACCATGGGTGACTATGTGGGATCCAACTCTTAACTACGAGGTTAATGAATGGTTCTATAACGATCACTTTAAAACTGACAAGGTTTTTGGATCAGCAGATGGAGTAATGGTTATGTAGCTGGACCCCCATGTAGTAGACTGTGGTTCAAGTCCTGGACCCAGTGGCCTGAAACTCATACGGGCACTTGTGTGTGTGTGTGCCTAAAATCTTGAGAGAATGGAGGAGAAGGGATTGCGGTGTAGCCATCCCTTCCCCCTCTCCCCCGGGAATGATTTCTTCCTGTCTCTCTGGCGAGTGCATGAGCCCCATAGAATACAAAAAAAAAAAAAAAAAAAAAAAAAAAAAAACTCTCTTAAACAAAGACTGACAATGTTTCAATCACAGAGATTCAGCATGAATAAACCACACCCATTAGACTAATTCAAGTTCACCTCCGATACACTGCTTCATCTCCTATATTTTTCCACTTCTTCAGATCTCAAACACTATCCTACTCTTAACATGAAAAGCTCGGTGGGAGACCGTTCAGATGGGGAAGGCCCAGCCCAGCACTTGGTTCTTACCTGGTGAGCCAGTGGCCAAGGTCTGGCCGGTGGGCCCACTGCACACCCGTCTGGTTCAGTGAGCGCAGCAGCCGGCAGCAGGTCAGTATCAGCCACGGGCTTGCCAGCACCATCCACCGCTCGTGGCCTCTGAGTAGCTCGAAGGGAGAGGGGCCTTCATGTACTTTGTCATGCTCGGACACACCCCCGCCTGTCCTGTCCTGCAATGCTGGTGCAAGACTGTCAAACCCTTGGTCCATGGGGAAGTGACACTGGGGCTCACAGCTGTCTCCCAGGAAGTAGCTTCTGTAGATTTCTTGACTCAGAGCTAGACACAAGGTGTTAACCAGGAAGTACCAGGTCTGGTGCTCCTCCTCCACAAAGCTGCTGGCACCCAGACTCACGACGTGGCCCAGCGTCCCAAACAAAATGAGAAGATCTAATTCTGACCACCTTGAGTCGGGGTGAGCTGGACTCTGTGAAGAGGAAAATGTCTTCTGTAAGGGATGCCCGGAAAAGTGCACACATCTTGCTGCAGGTACTTAAAGCCCTTGCTTACAACAAGTCACCCCCTATAACAGATAGCTGCTGTTCCTCATGGCCAGCATTCCCACCCCCACCCTCGCTCCCCAGTTTTAGAACAGGCTCTTCCTCCCCAGATAGCCTGGGGGGTCAAGACGCCTTCACCCCAGCCCAGGGACTATGGACATAGCATGGTCAGCCGGTAGCCCTTACCCTGGACTGCAAGTTGCAAACTGAGTGACAAGAATGAACCCAACAGATCCCAAAGAGTTTGCCTGGTGGCTCATTGGCCTCACCCTCCAGGGTCCCTGTTCTCTCCCCTGGGTCTTCAGTCAGCCACAGCCAGCTCCTGCTGCTTGAAACCAAAGGACCCCAAGAATACCTTCCACCAAACCAGACATCTAATTTCTCCATGAATTTTCCAGAGATCCAGAAAGTTACCATTAAAATGATTAACTCTGTTGAAATGACACCACAATACTACCCCTTATTAAATATACCAACTTGAAATATTTAAAATTAAAGATAAGGGGCCGGCAGGTGGTGTGGTGGTTAAGGTGATGGACTCCCACATGGCTGGCGGTGGTTCAAGTCCTAGGCCCACTGGCTTGCTTTGTCACTCTCCCTCTCTCTTTCTCTCTGGCCAAATTAAAAAAAAAAAAAAAAGTAAATAAATAAAATAATTCTTAAAAAAAAAGAAAGATAAGAACTCAATTTCACTTATTCTCTTGATACCTATTTACTGTGTGCTGCTAGTTACAACAAAGCGAGAGACCATGAGCTTGGCCTGGCCCTAGAGCTGCAATGTGTGTGATGGTCCTGGCTGCAGGGAAACCGACAGCATAATGTTGGCGTGGTCAGCGCCTTAGACGCAGACAAACTGAAAGGGTCCCTGATGGGCCCCGAGGCAAGAGGGAGATAGGGAGCTGCACAGGTGTGGGTGGGTCTGAGCATATCCTGAAGTCAGTGCCCGAGGACCCCGATCCCAGACTCTGGGCACAGCAGACCCATGTAACTTTCCACCTCTTCCTCCCTGTCTTGCCACCCCACTCAGCTGCTGAATAAAGGTCCTGGAGGCCACAGACTAAGAATTCTAATGGACAACGTCAGCCTGGGAAAGAAAACTGTATCTTAAGAGGCAGAATGGATTTCCAAGATGGCAGAGTGAACAAGAAGGATGGAGCTTCCTTTTGATCCTCATGTGTGTCACACCAATAGCTGGTTCTTCCCAGGACTGTTCTCTTCCAAGACACATCTGACTCATGGACTCCTTGCTGTCAGCTGGTTGTCTATTCTGCAAGCGGCAGCTCTTTACTCTCCACTCCTGCCCTATCGTAGCTGCAGGACCCCCATCTTTCCCACCAACAACTAAATGTGAGACCTAATAACACAGATATGAACACCTGGAGTCAGGAGGCCCAGAGGCCTGGGGAAGGCTGCTGAAAGTGCTCCCTTCCCTGCCCTCTGCCTTGTGTGTTCCTTTCAGGCACCACCAGCACCATGCCCGGTGTTCACCCAATGAGAATGGAGGGTCAGCTGAAATAACACAAAGTGGCCTGGATGAAGAGCCCACGTCCAACGTCAGGAGCCAGTTGTACCTTACTCAGGAAACTTCCATCCATGAACACCTTGGTTAGCGCGGACACAATCGCGCAGAGCAGCGCAGAGATCAGCAACATCACTGCACCTGCGGCCAGCCACGAGAGGCTGCAGAAGTAGCAGGAGCTCTCGGCCGAGGTACACACAATGACATGAACAGCTGAAAGGACCAGGAACATCAAGTAAAAGAGCAGAGAAAACACAGGAGATGACAGGGGCACTTCCAGCTGGGCCTTTCTACACAGAGCCTGTGGGATGCTGAGTAGGAGCAGGGTAAGAACCTGGAACAGAAAAATAACAGCAGTGTTCACAAAGTGCTGGGCTCAGAGGAAACAACTGAAAAGAAAATAAAAAAGGGATATAAAAAAAAAGTCCATCTCCTGATCTGTGTCAGCTATTCAAACAGAAAAGAAAACCTAATAAAAGATGATTTTTAATGAACTGCCAAAATGCTGAGTGAAGCCCCTAAGAGCTGACAATACTTTGTGTATTGTTACAAATCAGGACATACAAAGGAAGAGGCAAACATGAAAACGTCTACTTTCCCATTTTTGGCAACACTAATACACAGGCTTTAAACTATGACATTGGGTTGTCAGAAAAGTCATGACATATTTTTTTTTCATGCAAAAATGTGTCATGACTTTTCCAACTACCCAATACTCTGGCTGAGTTATTGTATCAATCTACGGCTGAGCCATGACTGCATGAGCATCCTACCTCCACAACCATGACAGTCCCCACCACCATCGAGTAGAGGTCGTACTGGGCCACTTGTGTGCTCAGGGATAGGCTCAGAATCTTCATCGCATCCAGGTACTGCCTGAGAACCTTGGTCCCCAGGTTGAAAAGGACTTCTGAATGATTTTCCTCCAAGTATAGTTTGATCCAGTTCCCGTGCAACTTTTCTGACATTTTAAACTGCTCAAATCCAGGATCTATCGAGAAGGCAAGAAGTTACACATACATACACACAGCATGGACATACAGGCATGCACAACTTTAAAGCATTCCATTACTCATGGCATAGGGGGAGGCCTTGTGTTTTAAGAACTGATACCTAGGGAATCAGCAGTTAGCATAATGGCTATGTCGCTGGACTCCCACGTAATCGACCGCGGTTCGCGTCCCGGACCCGGTGGCTTAAAACTCACGCCGGATGTATGTGCGTGCGTGCCCAAGATCCCGAGATAAGAATGGAAGAGAAGGGATTGCGGTGTGACCATGCCCCCTGGGGGGTGATTTCTCGCTTTCTGTCTCTATGTCTCTCTCTCTGTCTGTCTGGCTATGTCTCTCTCTCTGTCTGTCTGGGGAGCCCCGTTCCCTAAAGGAAAAAACCTCCTAAAAAAAAAAAAAAAAACAAAAAAAGGAACTGATACCTAGTGAAGATGGACTATCCCTTTAGCAGGGGTTCTGGGGGTGAACGATACCTTCAGTAAAACTGGAAAGGCTGGTGATGCTCATTCATCCACCCACCAGCACTGCTGGGGCCTCGTGCTCGGCACACACGATACAGATGGAAGCTCTGCTCACTGCTCCACCTGGTCTCTTTCTGTACCTCTCTCATCTGGTCTTACCTACTCCTCCTCCTACTGTCTCTTTCCACCTTTTTTTCTTCTTCATGGTGCAATAGAAAACCAATCCTGAAATACATGGCACTAACAGCTGGTCCTTGCAGCTTTGTGAGAGCCTGGGCAGCAGTGGCCTGACCCCCTCCCCACCATGCCCACTCCCCAGTGCAGACTGGCCCTTCTTCCCTTGTACTACACATCACCCATTCCCTAACCTACAGCTGGCTCCCTCTTTTAGATGAAGGTCTTCTAGATCGAAGTTGGGGGCTGATGGCCTTCCTTTCCAGAACTGCCTGGACCACACCCACTTGTGACAAGGTTGGTGTGCCCACCCAGAAGTTCCTTCCTGAGACTCCTTGGTATTTAACATGCACTTCGTACTTCGGCAGAGCCCATCCAAGGCAGGTCTCAGCTGTGCCCATCAATAGCCTCACCCTACCTGACCGCCCTGCACCAGGGATTCTGTGAGCACAGCCTAGGCTTCCCTCGTGGCAGCAGGGACGGACACCAGAGGCAGTCCAGCAGCTAAGGTGCAAGTCCTGCAACACTGTCCCTGAGCATGAGCCAATCACTTGCAGGCCCGCCCCATGCTGCTGGCACTAAGTGACATGTACTAAGAGCCACGGCCGGTACCACTCTAAGCGCTCACTCATCTCATCTCCCTAATGGCCCTGTGAGGCAGGGATGAGGACCCCATCTGTCCTCCAGAGGAGTAAACTGAGACACTGGGGACAAATCACTTGCTCAGGTCACACAGCTTGTGGGTACAAATTGGAGTCTAAACTCATTCTGGCCCCCGAGCTGGCACACTTAACTGCTGAAGGGCCACACTAAACTGCTGACCCCACCACCCCAGAGTGGAGGAACCTGTGTCTATACCCATGCCTCCCTGTTATGTAGTCACGCAGACATTGAGCACCTGCATCTATGCCCCAGATCTCTTCATTATGGAGTCACAGGGACATGGGCTACCTCTGTCTGCACCCCACAACTCTGTATCAAAGAATCACAGATGAATGGGGGAGCACTATGTCTGTACCCCGCACCTCTCTATCAGAGTAACAGAGATACAGGGTGGCGGCAGAGTGGGGAGTGCACCTGAGCATACTCGAAACAAGTATTGCAAGGATAGCAAATGCAATGGCATGCAAAGGGGCAGCTCCTGCCTGCTTGGCTTAGGTCTCGGAGGATGAACACACACACACACACACACACACACACACTCACTATGAAAATGAAGGAAAAACAGAGGCTATAATGAGAGATTTCTGGTAATGGAGGGACTGATTTTAGATAGGGAATAGGGGATAAGAAAAGCCCACTATTTAACCTGAAATGTAAAGGATGCCCAGGAATTAACCAGGTGGAAAACTAAGGAAGAGCATCCAGTTCATGGGAAAAGCACGTGTAGAGATCCTGCAGAGAATAAAAAGCCAGGCCCACTAGAACTAGGCCAGGTGGGCGAGCTGTGTCAGACCAGGCGGGATTGCAGGAGAGTGGTTTCTAAAACCTGTCTCAGAATGCGTACCCAGGTTTGTTTCAGGAAACGTAATCACTGGCAGTGTAGACAATGGGCCTCTTAGGGATATAAAACCGCCTGAACGTTTTCTGATCCCAGGGGTTATCCTATTGTCCACATCCGTTGCCGTTCTCAATTTCTCCCTACCCGGCTGTTTCTGAAATAGGCAGACTCCTCCACTGTTCTGTTTTCATTTGGGCTTTCACTGCCTGTTAGTATAAGATAAAGGACACGCATCACCAATATCAGTAAGTATACAAAAGCTACCAAAAGTCACAGCTGTCCCCAGTCCTGATTGCAGCGTGTGCTGCAGGCATGCCTCACCTTTAACCAAGTTCCTCACCTCGGCCACCTCAGACACTAGGAGCAGGTACTCACTAAGTTCTGCCAGTCTTTGCCTCTAGGACCAACCACCCCAGCTGGCTGGGTTGGTCTTCCACAGGCAGTTTACGGATGTCACTTTTCATCTCAAATCTGTGGATGTTTGCTCTACTTGATAGAATCCACTTCTCCAAGCAGAAGAGCCTGCCAACATCATATTAAATGCTGCCTCAAGACAGGAGTCGACCTCCTCTAGACTCTCAAAGAAGTCCCAGTGTCACACGTTATTCTATAATGTACCTGGATTTATCAGGAAACCCTTTGAAAATATAACCTCAGGGAGGCTTATCTCTTCTCCTGGATGATACTTATCAGCATATAAGCCACTCTCCCTATCCCTCACCCCAGTAGCTCCCAGCTTACACACACACACACACACACACACACACATGCTGGATGACTCTGTGGCTCGGGAGAAGTCAAATTTCCCCAGAGATTGGTGTTCGAATCTCTGGCCTGGTCACCTTGAAACATACCAGGCAAGCACCCAAGATCCAAAGGTTGGGGACCTGGAGGAAGAGGACTGCAGCATGACCGGACCCTGTGGAGGGGGACCCTCTCTTGCTCTCTTTCTCATGTGCACATGCACATACTCTACCATAATAGAGAAATAAATTAATGCCAAATGCACTCTCTTGGTCCCATACTTACCTCAGACAAGGTCCGTCTTCCTATTGCTATGAGTCACCTGCACCAACCCTAACTCTAAGCCATACCAGCCAGGCTCTCTCCACGGGAGCTGCTCTGGAATAACCCCATGTTGCCAAGTCTAATGGTCAATTCTCTGATTCCTCATTTGTTTTCTAAATCAGCATTTGACACAGCTGCTCACTCCCACCTCCTTGAAATGTTTTCTTTACATAGCTTCCTGGACACCAATCCACCCACCCATGAACACCCTGCCTTGCAGACTTGCTGCTCTTACTGTCTTATTCACCTTGGCAAACGATCACTCTACTCTTACACTGTTCTGCTGAAAATCCTAGAGTCATTTCTTCTACCTCTGGTCTGCTTGCTTCTTACAGTCCAGTGTGCCAGTAAATCCTGTTTCAGTTACCTTCAAAATGTGTCCAGAATGAAAGCACTTCCACACTCCACTGCTATTGCCTGGGCCCTCAGCACCTCAGCTCTCACCAAACCACTGCAGCCACCTCTGGACTGATCTCCTGTGACACAACGCAGAAACCTCTACAAGGGTGCTTGAGAGAGCCTTTGAGAATGCAAGCTGAAGTGCTCAGGCTCTGCACGACACCCTGTAGTGGTTCCCTATTTAACTCAGAATAAAAGTGAAAGCCCCAGGACCAGCAGATGGCATAATGGCATAATGGCTATGTCGCTGGACTCCCATGCAATCGACTACAGTTTGAGTCCTGGACCCGGTGGCTTAAACTCACGCCAGACATGTGTGCATGCGTGCCCAAGATCCCAAGAGGAGAATGAAGGAGAAGGGGTTGCAGCATGGCCATTCCCCCAGGGGGGTGATTTCTCACTTTCTGTCTTTCTTTCTGGTGAGCACATGCACCCTATAGCAAAACCCTCTCCCTGCAAAAAAGTGAAAGCCCCTCCAATGCCCAGCAGGCCCTCACATCTGATACCATCTCCTTTGCCTTCACTGAGCCACTCTGGCCCCTGGCCATTCAGAGAATGCATAGGCACATCCACTCAATAGGATCCTGTGTCTCCGCCTTCCTCAGCATGCAATGCTTCTTCCCAGGCAAAGGCCAGGCCTGACCTAATGGCCCCACTCACCTGCACTCCCCACCCATCCCTCGTTCCTTTTTTGGTCCTCCTCCTCATCATATAGCATCTATCACTGTACTTTTCCAGTACTCTCTCTGGAAGGTTCCATGAGGACAGAGCCCTTGTGCTCCTCAGTGCTTTATCTTCAGTATTTTTAACACTCCCTCGTTCATAACAAGAACTTGGTAAATATTTGTTGAATGAATAAATTTTTGAAAGAACTTCATTTATAATTGCATCTGTGGGTGTTGCTAATGGTGACAGTGAAGGTTCTAGGAAAACAGGAACATAATCTGCATAATCAAAGGGCGATGCCTACAGAGCATTCCTGTGACAAACTGCACCACAAAACACTTCAGGACGACACCAGCTCAATGGAGATAAGCAGTCCTGACAGAAGTCGGGAACTGAATTGCCTTACCTTTTGCATACGATGGTACATTTTCTTGCAACAATTTGCTTAGCTGCACTGTATTTAAATGTAAAAATCTCAGTTGTTCTCTCATGGATTTTCCTTCCACGATTGGAAATAAGAAACTTCCTACGCTGTCTTTTGGAATTGGCAAACCAAGTCCTATTGCTAATGTGGCAGCCAAATCAGTCTGTTGGACGTGCTTCGGAAGTCGGGTATCACCTAGGAAAAAGAAAGCATGTTAACAGGCTTCTCGAAAGGGTAAGATGGCAGCCTTTGACCTCCTACAACAAAAGTATCAAACCACCCAGCTCTTCAAACATTCACAGCAGAGTCACACAGCAATCACCTCAGAGCCTTTTGTGTCCATAGATTTACTTCATGCCCCTCCTACATCAGGGCAGTGCCTTCCCTACAGTAAGTAGCTCACAACACACTAACACAAGAAAGTCAACACAGGGCGAGTCAGAGCACGCAGGGCGTGGGGCAGCAAGCGGAGTCCAGACACCAAGGGACGTCACTTTGGCAAGGGCAACAGTCAACCCCTGAAAAAGGGTGAAGGTGGGGTCTTTGAGGCTCTGTCCTTCCCTGTTCAGAACATGACTCGCTCTGCTCTTTACCCATACACAGCCCCTACAGAGAAACATGGGCCTCTCAGAGACTCCTGAGGAGCAGCAAACACACTGTGGAGAAGCTGGGCCCGGTGCAATAATCAACCTGGATGAACAACGCATCTGCTTATCAACAAAAACCTCAAGCGCACAAAGTGGCTGGCCATCCTCCTGACTCCTTGTGAGAATGGATGAGGCAGGGACCAGCAGTTAGCATAATGGCTATGTCGCTGGACTCCCATGTAGTCGACTGTGGTTCGCATCCTGGACCCAATGGCTTAAAACTTAACGCCGGGCGCGTGTATGTGCGTGTCCAAGATACCGAGAGGAGAATGGAGGAGAAGGGATTGCAGTGTGGCCATCCCCCCTGGGGGGTGATTTCTCGCTTTCTGTCTCTCTGTCTCTCTCTCTATCTGGCGAGTGCATGTAACCTATAGCAAAAACCTCTCCCCACCCCCCCAAAAAAGAAGAATGGATGTGGCATTAGGACACTGGGCTCAGGCCTCTACTCTGTCACTATCCAGAATGACCTTGGATGAGAAACGAAACTGTGCCAGAGTTCTCTCATCTGTCAAAAGAGGAACCAGCTGCCACACGCCAGCAGCTACAATGCAGGTATGCAGGGGTGCAAATGGACTACCAGGGAATTCTTGCCAGAACAGGTGGTGCTCAGTGTGAGTCTCTTAGGTATTCAAGTATGATTTTGCAGAGGTTTTACTAATTTTGTGGTAATTTTAGGTTGTATAGAATTTTCTTTGAATTTGGTCAAATTTATTCAATTTTCTCAACTAATCTTCTAATGATAATTTCTCATTTATGTTTAAAAAGAACTTTCCCCTCCACTGTTATTACTTTTTTTCCAGTATTTATTTCTTCTGGTATTTTCTTACATTAAGTGTTTTGAGCTGAAAACAAAACGAAACACAAAAACAAACCCACCTTAAATTGCTTTTGGCACTCATACTGGTAGTGGTAGTGCTGGGTTGTTATTCTGAGACTGTTGCATGTCTATTGTGGGATAAAGCAAATGAATCATTATGTGATATTCTAATTCTATCACATCTGGGGTTAGTGACAACCAAGATTCTAAGCTCAGGAGGAAGAAAGTACATAAGTTAATTTTACAGTCTTCAATATGAATTTAAGTATCAATAGGAACTCAAGATCATCCTATCTTAAAAATATCCCCTGCCTCTGTCCAGAAACAAACCCAGTATCAGCGAGCACCTCTGGCTCTGACACAGTGATCCTCAAATACAACTGTCCACTAAACGCAACCATGCACCCTGGAGAAGTAGCTGATCCCCTCTTATAGAACAGAGAGTGGCAGCAAAGCTATTAAAGACCACTAGGTCTTATCAAAGGGCTCAGGAGACAACTTGGAGATGGATCCACTGACCAAAGAGGGATAATCCAAATATTAAAAAAATACAGTGAACTGAAACAAATTCAATATGCTTAAATCCATGAGTTCATAATGTTATTTAAAAAAGAACAAACTTAGTTGGTCATAGTGGATGAATGCTGGTGAATTCATTCATTGACTTCAAACTGGTCATCAAGAAGGAAAAATAACCCATTGCTTTTCCTGTCTCTCTCATATAAATGGTAACAGTGGTTAACCAAAAAGTAGATGGGAGAAGATTTTCTTTTTTTTTTCCTTTTTAAAATAATTATTCGTTCAATTATATTTATTATTATTTTGAAAGATTTTTGCCATCGGGCGCATGCACTCACTAGAGAGAGAGTAACAGGCAGAGAGACAGAGAGTGAGAAATCACTCCCTAGGAGGGATGGCCATGTATGCCACCATCCCTTCTCCTCCATTCTCCCCTCAGGATCTAGGGCGTACATACTCAAACTGTGGTCAGCCATGTGGAAGTCTAGAGCCTTAATCACTATGCCACCTGCTGGTCTCCATTATTATTATTATTTAATTTGATGAGAGAGAGAGCGAGAACAAGCCACCAGGTCTAGAACTCGAATTGCAGTCGGCCATGTGGGAGTCCAGCACCTTAACCACCATGCCACCTGCCATCCCTGAAGATCTTCTTTATGTAACTATTTTGGCTGCTATGGTATCAATGAATGTTTCCTCCAAAATTAATGTATTGTAAATTTGATCCCCAATGCGACAGTGTTGGGCGGTGGGGCCTTCCGAAAGGTATTTAGCTTATGAGGGCTCTGACCTCATGAATGGGTTAATGCTGCTGTGAAAGGGCTTGACGGGGGCAGTCTGGTCCTTTTTGCCCTTCTGCCTCCTGCCAGGTGAGGACACAATCTTTAAAGTGCCACCTTGGGAGCAGAGAGCTTCACCAGATCCCTCACCACATCTCAGAACCTTGATCTTGAACTTCCCAGCCTCTATCACTGTAAGAAATAAATCCCTCTTTTTGGCAAGTCACCCAGTCTGTAGTATTCTATTGTACCCATTACAAAGAACTAAGACATTGGCTAATTAGTGAAAAAAGAGTTATAGAATTAAAACATCCCTATTTGCAACCTCTATTGAATTAATGGACCTAGGTGATCCTCAATGGCTGCTAACATCACAGTAATGCAGATCGCTAGACATTATGTCTCTCTTGCTAGAAGCAGCCTTGCCCAGAGAAGGCCAGACCAGACAGACCAGATCAACGGAATCTGAATCTGCTCAAGCATCTGGGTCAGAGAATATTTATAGGACAGAGGACATCCTGACAGTGCAGAGGACAAATGGCAAAATCTAGAGTATGGGAGAATCCATAGGACAAATAACCAGCTTTCTTTAACAAATAAACTGTGATAAAAATAAATAAGAGGTTGGATTTGGGGAGCTATTAATAAACAGAGACTTAAGAGATACATTAACAAATATCAGTATTTGAATATCATTTGTACCCTAATTCAAACAAACTCAAACAAGGAAGAGAAAGACAGACATTAGAAATTTGGACATTGACGGAACCAGCAGTTGGCGTAATGGCTATGTCGCTGGACTCCCATGTAGTCGACTGCGGTTCAGGTCCTAGACCCATTGGTTTAAACTCACGTCAGGCACGTGTGCATGCATGCCCAAGATTCTGAGAGAATGGAGAAGGGATTGCGGTGTGGCCATCCCCTGGGGGGTGATTTCTTGCTTTCTGTCTCTGTCTTTCTGGTGAGCATACGTGCCCTATAGCAAAAAACTCTCAAAAAAAAAAAAAAAAAAAAGAAGAAGAAATTTGGACATTGACAACTAATTGATGATATTAAGGAATCAATGCTGTTTTTAAATGTACTAATGGTATCAAGATTATGCAGAGGGACCGGCAGTTAGTGTAATGGCTATGTCACTGGACTCCCATGTAGTTGACCGTGGTTCGAGTCCCAGACCTGGCAGCTTAAACTCACACCAGGTGCGTGTGCATGCATGCCTAAGATCCCAAGAGGAGAATGGAGAAGGGGTTTCAGCATGGCCATTCCCCCTGGGGGGTGATTTTTCGCTTTCTGTCTCTCTGTCTCTCTGTCTTTCTGGAGAGTACACACACCCTATAGCAAAAACCTTTCGAAAAAAAAGCAGATCTTAGATATCTGCTTCCAAGTAATAAGGAGCAGGAGTGCAGGGAGAGAGGAACAAAGACTGCCCATAATTGGCCGATAACTGTTGAAGATGGGTGTGAACTTGAAGTTTATTATACTACTTTGACTATTTTTATATGTCTGAAATTTTCCATAGTAGAGTATTTTTTTTTTTTTAATTGCTAAGGGCCTGTGTGCTCACCAATCTTAGATATCTGCTTCCAAGTAATAAGGAGCAGGAGTGCAGGGAGAGAGGAACAAAGACTGCCCATAATTGGCCGATAACTGTTGAAGATGGGTGTGAACTTGAAGTTTATTATACTACTTTGACTATTTTTATATGTCTGAAATTTTCCATAGTAGAGTATTTTTTTTTTTTTTTAATTGCTAAGGGCCTGTGTGCTCACCAAAGAGAGAAAAAGGGAGAAAGCATCCCCTCCCCAATGGGGACCATGCTGCAATCACTTCTCCTCTATTTCTCTATTCCATCAGGATTTGGGGTACGCGCGCGCGCACGCGCACACACACACACACACACACACACACACACCATGTTGTCCAAGACACTGAAGCCAGGATTTGAATCATGGTCACCCACGTGGAATTTGGCTCCCTTAACCACTATGCTATGGGGACAGCCCAATGGTCTTTCAATGAGATGAAAATGCTTTGACCTGGAATTGATGTTGGTTTAAAGCATAATGTAGAGGGTCAGCATTAGACTTTTCCCGGTCAGCCAGGTGTGCTAACATTTACCAGCATCCCCTCTTCTCTCCACTAACCCAAGATACTACTTTCTTTATCACTAAATCCCCACATACACTGCAATCCATTTTGGGCCTTTTTGTTTTCTTACGTTTATTTCTTTCTTACACGAGACTGAGGGGTAGAGACAGTCTCTCTCTTACACACACAAGCAAACACCCTCAGCAGGGTCTCACATCACAATGCCCAGCCAGTTGGGACCATGGGTACATGTGCCCAGCATACACAGGTCAACCAGAGAGCCAGACCTGTGGTCTTCCATATGGGCCCAGAGTCACCAACCAGCACATGACCTGTGAACCACCG